ACTCAGCACCAAATCCCCTGAAGGAATAGGACCCGGGATCTCTCTCTGTGTCTCTATAGCTCATGCTTCTGGTTCCCAGGGACGCACATAGATGTTCCTCTCTCCACCCAACACTTGGTCCACTGGCTCCAGGCTCGCACTATGGTCTTAATTTATCCTCTGATCACTTTATAGAGGAAATGGTGCCAGATGGAACTTCCTGTCTCTTGAACATGAACCAATTGCACTTGTACTTGTTTCCCAGATTGGAGAGTTAATTTCTCTTGGTTGTCATTACTGGTGACTGTCAAAGTCATCTCTGATTTTCAATCTTTTTTTTTTTCATTTTATGACAATTATCTCTATGGAATGTTTGTACAGGTCTCTTAGAGCAGTTGGGTCCAGGGAAACTAGCACAGACCCAGATGTGGGGAATTATTTTAACATACATACACCCTTGGACATGTCACACTCTGGGATGGGGCCATTTGTATCATATTCTAAGTGGGAGCTCCCTATATAACAAAAGGACATGCAAATATGGCTCCCTATGCTCATAAAAAGCAGCCCAGCCCTGACCCTGCAGCTCTGGGACAGGAGCCCAGCCCTGGGATCCCCAGGTGTTCCCATTCCCAGATCAGGACTGAACACAGACCACTCACCATGGGGTTTGGGCTCATTTCCTTGCGGCTCTTTTAAGAGGTAATTCATGGAGAACAGGAGACACTGAGTATGTTAGTGGATGTGAGTGAGAGAAACAGTGGACGTGTGAGTGTTTCCTGACCAGGACGTCTTTGTGTTTGCAGGTGTCCAGTGTGAAGTGCAGCTGGTGGAGTCTGGGGGAGGCTTGGTGCAGCCTGAGGGGTCTCTTAGGCTCATCTGTACAGCCTCTGGATTCACCTTCAGTAGTTACCATATGACCTGGGTTGGCCAGGCTCCAGGGAAGGGGCTGGAGTGGGTGGCAATTATATGGAATGATGGAAGTCAGAAATACTATGCAGACTCTGTGAAAGGCCGCTTCACCATCTCCAGAGACAATGCCAAGAACACGCTGTATCTTCAAATGAACAGCCTGAAAGCCGAGGACACAGCCGTGTATTACTGTGCAAGATACACAGTAAGGGGAAGTCAGTGTGAGCCCAGAAACAAACCTCCCTGCAGCAGAGTCTGTGACCAGAAGGGGGCGTTCAGGGTCCCTGAACACAAGGACCATCCAGCAGCTGGTGCAGTTGGAGGTTTAGTCTGGTTTTCCTGTGTGGTTTCATCTTCATGTCACAGTTCCCCTCAGGGAACCTCTGGATTCCTGACTCTACGCTTACCTCTGCCGTCTCTGATTTAGGAAGTATGTTGTAAACAGAGACAAGTTTCTATCATGGACCAAAGGTAGAATCTTGTGCCCAAATGACAATCAATGATATAATATTCTGACCCAGGTCACCTAAATCTAACGCAGGCTCTGCTGACTCAACAGTGCAGCTCAGCCCCACACAGCTCAGGTCCCAGCCAGCCAGCACCAGGAGACCTGTGTGCTGGACAGTGGAAACCAGAGGAGTGTGACTCCAAAGCTAGAGAAGAAGGACCCTGGTGGTGAAATTCATTCACTTGTCATCACTCTCATAGCACCAATAGCTGGTGATGCCATCAGGAGGAAGTAGAGGGACCCACCGTACCTTGGAATGGATATGCAGACTGACGATGTTCTCACAAAGAGGGACCTTGAAAGGTTTATCACTTTATGGAGGTGTCTGTTGGGATCAGGGCAGGCATTTCAACAACTAAATCATAATGGGGTTCCTCAGGTAAGGACGCTCATTCAGAGATGTGACCACCAGGGGGCTCTTAGGACACACAGACTTTGTGTTCCAGCCCCAGGAGTACTAGAAGGTGGTGTTTATGGCTGTTTCCTCTGAGGATTCTGGGTTTCCTCTCCACATAACAATTTCTCCAACAGTCACTCTAGACCTATGCCTCTGTGACTACCACTGATGGTTCTGTGTTTATTATATTAGTAGGTCCTGTCTCACATGCAGCAGAGATGAAGTTTCATGTTTGCAGGAAGAGAAATGCAGAGGGTGAGACTGCAGGGTGGCTTGGATGTAGATGGATCTCACTCTCACCTCCTTCCAGAACCAACTGGAAATTACAACTAAGTTGGGGATCATTCACCCTGAATCACCAACTAAAGACTATTTGAAGAGGAGACATTTAACCAAGGAGCTGGGAGAAGGCATCTGTAGACTGGAAGGAAGGGGGACACTGGAAAGGCGCTGGCCCCTCTCCCCTGGTTGGCAGGCCAAGGTGATGGAGGTAAAGCTCAGCTGCAGAGGTTCCTCCTGAGAGTTGTGAAGCCCAGACCAAGACCAGGAACCACCTGAGTGCAAGATAAGTGAATAGGCACCCACATAGCACTCAGCTGTGAAATTTGGGGGGGTGGTTTCTGTGTGCCAAGGAGAGGCAGAGTCAGCTGGAGACAAAGCCACCACTTTAAAGGGACAACAAGTAATATGTGTGTTAGCAACTGCTCATGCTGTGTTCTAAGGGAAGGAGGGCGGTCAGACTGCAGCTACCTGAGGAGAGTCAGGATGGGTGGCTTTGTGGAGGGACATGGTAAAGAGCCACAAGGACCCTGTACTGTACCCACCTCCATTCCTCAGCAGCCATCTTTCTTGGGAGGAGCAATCCCCATTCAATGGGCATCAGCCTGGAGAAAGCAATCCCCTCACCTCTGGAACCGTCACCCTACCCTGCATCTTAGGCCCTGCTGAGGAGTCATGGGTAAAGGTCTGGATGTAGATTTCTGGGCATCTCAGGAGGTGTTAGAGACTGGCTTTGGTGAGGGCATTAACCCACTTCCCCATTAAACTTAATGGTGCCTGCTCTTCACAGGAGATCTAGTAGAAATGATCTCTAGTCTTCTGAGAGCCTCAAACTCTGATATCTGCAGAGCCCACCCATCTGACCACGAGGGGTCCAAATGTACTGAGTTCAGGGTAAAATCAGGGACAGACTCAAACGGGTGGCTCTGGAGCAGGGGAACACACCCACAATCTTCCAGGAAGTATAATCTCATCCTCCTTAGGGGAGATCTTAGAGCCCTTTCCTCCTGATTCCTCCAGAGGCTCTTTCAGAGTCTGAGCTTTTCCAGTGTTTGAGGCTAACAGCCAGCCGGCAGGCAGAGGAGGATTCAGGGGTGCCTCGGCACATTTGCTGACCCAACTCTGGGTCCTGTGGTGGGAGACACAGGCCTTGCAGCTCAGCATGTTTCTTTGTGTGCACAGCCAAGCCCAGCAGGGGTAGCCACAAACTGTGGGTCAGTTGTATCTTCAAACATTTTGCCAAGTGCTAGGCATAGACAGCCTAAGATTGCCCTTCACCAGAGAACCTTTCACGACACCCTAAACCAGCACACCCACTGGCCATCTTCAGACAAAACTGAAACTGCATCCAACAAGCTTCACACACAGCATATCCAAAGGGAGATCGCAGCAGGCACTGTGTCCTCTGCTGATGTGAGCCCCAATTTTTCCTGTTTCTTCTTTTCATTATACTATGTTTTCTACTTTTTCCTTCTGCCTTCTATATTTATTTTTTTCTCTTTCCTTTTCTATTTTCATATGTTCCCATTTACATTCCTTATTCCTCATTTTTCCCTTTTTCCTTTCATGTTGTTTACTTTTCTATTTTTTCTTCTTATACTCCTTTCTTTTCTTATTCTTTTTTAATTTTTCTTTACGTGTTATTTTTAGTTGTTTTTTTGTGTTGGCAATGGTTTTTTGTTCTGCATTGTATTGAACTGTATTGTCAGCATCTGCATATCGATTCCATGATCTTGTCTGGTTTCAGCCTCACAGTCAGTCAGTCTGAAGGTCTATACCATCCATGAATGGACCAACAGAAGCCAACACCCAATTACAACAGGAGGATTCACATAACCCACAATAGGGACATTCCAGAGCATCCAGCTCAAGACATCAAGGAGACTGCACAAATGGGGCTCATAGGAAAGCTTCTACATAAGGCCTCCCACAAAGACTGGAAGTCATAGCAGGTCTATCTAATAGATAGAAAGAAACACAAATAGACAGCCATATTGGGGAGACAAAGAAACAGGCCCCAGAACAAACAAGAGGAACCTCCAGAAAATGAACTAAATCAAATGAAGGCAAGCAATTTCTCAGATATAGAGTTCTAAGTAATGGTTATAAGGATGCTCAATGAACTTAGTGGGAACTACAATGTCATGAAAAATTATGTAAGGACTCTGAATAAGAACCATTTGGAAATGAAGAACACCATATCTGCCATCAAGAATACACTGGAGCCCTAGCTGGTTTGGCTCAGCGGATAGAGCATTGGCCTGCGGACTGAAGGGTCCTAGGTTCGATTCCAGTCAAGCGCATATACCTGGGAGTGGGCACATCACAAGTAGGGGGCGTGCAAGAGGCAACTGAATCGATGTTTCTCTCTCATCGATGTTTCTAACTCTCTATTCCTCTCCCTCTCCCTTCTTCTCTGTAAAAAAATCAATAAAATGTATTTTTTTAAAAAATAAAAAAGAATACACTGGAAGGAATTAAAAGTAGGTTTGATGCAGAGGAGATCAAATCAGTGATTTGGCAGAAAAAGTAGGTGGAAAGTGGACAATCAGAGAAGAAAAGAATAATGAAAAAGAATGAGGATAGTTTTATGAAAATTTGGGACAACATGGAATAAAACAATATCTGAATCATAGCAGAATCATATTTAGGAGACAATGAGAAAATGATCAAGAACCTTTTTCATGAAATAATGACTGAAAATTTCCCTAAACTGGTAAAGGAAAAAGACACACAAATATAAAAAGCACAGAGAGTCCCAAATAAGATAAACCCAAAAAGGATGACAGCAAGATACATCATCATTTAAATGACAAATATGAAAGACAACAAGGGGATCTTAAAAGTAGCGAGAGAGAGGTAGTTAATTGCCTACAAGGCAAATCTCATAAGACTGTCAGCTGGTTTCTCAACAGAAACATTTCATGTCAGAGGGGAAGAAATATTCAAAGTTATCCATCAAACTAGTATTAAAATTAACTTTAAAGGGTCTGTTGGAAGAAAAAGGTGGAAGAGGAGGAAGAGGAAAAGAAAACAAAAATACAGAGGTAAAATCATAAAATGGCAATCAATATATACCAATCAATAATCACATTAAAAGTAAGTGGCTTAAATGCTAAAAACAAAAGACATAGGGTAGCTGATTAGATAAGAAAGCAAGACTCAAGACATAAACAGATGGAAGAACATACCGTGTTCATGGATTGGTAGAATCAACATCATTAAAATGTCCATACCACCCAAAGCAATCTATAAATTCAACGCACTTCCCATTAAAATACCAATGGCATACTTCACAGATCTAGAACGAACTCTCCAAAAATTCATCTGGAATAAAAAAAGACCCTGAATAGCTGCAGCAATCCTGAAAAAGAACAAAGTCGGTGGGATGTCAATACCAGATGTCAAGATTATTACAAAGCCATTGTTCTCAAAACTGCCTGGTACTGGCACAAGAATAGACATATAGATCAATGGAATAGCATAGAGAC